TGTATGTATGTATGTATGTATGTATGTATGTATGTATGTATGAATGTATGTATGCGTTCATGCATGCATATATATACATACCAACAGTGGAAGGACAGCCAGAGTAGCCTAAGTTGGGTGGCGCAAGAGGGTGGCCTGTGGATCTGATCAGCGTAGGAGAGGGCCTAACCTCCGAGCTGCCCAGCCAGGCTGGTGGAATCGAGGGCGCAGCGCTAGCGCACTGTGATGGGACTTGAAGTCGCGGCACCTGATGGGGCAAGCGAAGTAGCACGAAGGATGCAGCAAGAGACAAAAAAGCCAGAATTGTCCAGCACCAGGCATCGCCCATACGGCACTTGAAAGCTATCTGGCCCCCAAACGGGGCTCGTACCCGGTCCTACCTTACCCGACGCAAAGCAACGAAGTGGTGGTCGATTGTGCCAAGATGAAGCACTATTTTAGCACAGCGAACATGAGTCTGCGTTATCGCCAGCCAAATAGTGCAAGTTGGCCTCAAATCGAACAATTAAGTGCACTTGCTACGCGAGCTCATCTTCTGTTTTTCTGCATCCAACAGCAACACACAATCGAAGGGCGGTAGGGGCGAGGTGGCCGGCGAATGTCCGACAGCCCCGTTTTCGAGAGACGAATCGAGCTCAGCGGATTAATGGGACTTCTGGGCGGCCGGCAGGCATTGGTCGGCTGGTACCAACGCTGGTACAGACTCAAACATACCGTCGGGCTGGGCAAACACACCGGAGCATTACAGCCAACCAGAAGCGGTAGACCCAAGACCCGAACTCCACCGTTCCGGAGGGCTTGAGGCCCGCGACACCCCAAATGGTGGGTATGGGAGGTGGGACGCCAAGTGGTGGCAAGCAACAACAGGCCTCGGTCAGTTGAAGGCCGAAATCGGACGACAAACTCCCGTCGAGCAGGTGGGGGAGGCGGGGCGTGGGATTCAAGACGCCACCAGGTGGGCGAAGTGTGGATGGTGTGTAAAAATGATGTAGAAAGTACTCAAGGACAAATAAAAGGCCATTGACTGGCAAGCAGACAAAGGTATGACGGTGTTCCGTTGCTCGCGTTGAGGCTAGGCAAGTCAGAGTGATCGTGGCACCCAAAGGTACAAACTGAGGGTGAATTGTGAGAGAAAGAAAAAGAAAGAGAGCCGACATTGCAGAAATGGTAGAATCACACTTGAGTTCGGCAAGAGTGTCCTTCGTCTGATTTTATTCTCTTCCACATTCGCTCTACGTCAGTCACAAGTAACGTCAGAGAGTCGATGCAAATGGGTCGGGCAGG